CCTTCGAGTTGTAATCTGCTTTTTTCCAATAGGCATAAACTGCAGTATAAATGAACTATTAAACACCTTTTAAATGTTAATAAATCTATGAGCGATTTTTTTCTTTTATGTTTTAGGGCCGATTGTTCAATGTCTGATTAGTACAAATCAGAGAAGCTCCGGTTAAATACATTGAACAACCGGCCATTAAAAATATTTGTGAATTGTTATAGTCGGAACACATTGAAAAGGACAACCACAGCTGTAAATTGTTCGTCTTCGTTATCTAAACGCTCAGTCGATGGTGATATGAATTTTTTGAACGCGGCAGCGACATCATGCATTTTTATGAGTTTATCATAAAATAATGGGAAGAACTCATTTTTCGGTCGAAAAATATAAATAGATCTAAGCTGGCCACAATCCCAGACGTGGTGTATTATCTACATACGTCGAAAAATAATTTCCAATTTGTTTGGAATATTATGCTCATAAAAATTTGGGTAATTTTTTTCTGAGTTTGGTAATTTTTTTTAGAGGTTTGGTAAAAAATTAAAAATCTTTGTGGCAACACTGGTTCTGAGCTAAGTTTGAAGTTTCCAGCACAGTATAGACAGTAACCAACCTTTTTGGGTTGTTGTTGTAGTAGTCGTTGTTGTTGTAGTTATATTCACTCCTGAGGAAGGCACGGGGTTGTGTGCTGCTATTTAATGGCCTTCCTCAGACTTTTTCTTAGATTTCAGGGTTGTGTGCTGCATTATTATCATAGTTGCCAACTTGGTGCTTTAAGCACTAGATTTAGTGATTTTTGAAAATTAAAACGCCAAAAAAAAATATTTAGTGCCTAGTGCCTTTTTTAGTGCTTTTTTCTGAACTAAAATTACTTCGAGATAGTTGAAACCTGAAATAATTTGGAATATTTAAGGCTTTGGCAGCACTGAATTTACAAAAATCTACAAACCATGATTGATAAAAAGCTGAAGTTGCAAACCCATCTTGTTAAATTCTATTCGCGTTGAAAATACTAGTACGCAAGTAAGTTAGGTATTTGTTTTTTTTTTCTTTTCTATTTGTTTGTATAAATTTTGTTTTTTTTTACCACCTAAGTAAAACACATCGTTTCTTGGTTCTGAATCCAAATCTGGCCTCACAATTGCTCTAGCACTAGAATTTTGAGATGCCCTAACCTCAAAGTGCCATGAACATGGTTTTTAGCGATATTTGAGGTTATATAATGAAAACATCAGATTATTTGCTCATTTCTAATTAGGGCATCATTTTCATTTGATGCGATTCGATTTTTCTTTCTCGAGATATACTAGTTTTAATATGCAGTACTTCGGTATTATGTTATGAAAAAAACTCCCTTGATTCAAAAAAATTTGGTGCTTTTAGTGTGGCAAAACGCTTTTTTCCAAGTTTTTGGTGCTTTTTGAAAATAAAAATATGGCAACACTGATTATTATTAGATAAATAAATTTAAGCATTTCACAAATCGTGAATTTATTAAAAGAAAATTATAAATGGTGTTGAAAACCCAAACAAACGATCGTGCGAAATCTCTATTTTTGTGTATTGTTAAAATTTATACATGGCGTATTGATGGTAATACAAGCAATTTATTCTTTTGTGGACTTTATGTTACTTGAGAATTTAGACAACGTGCGAGCTGCCAGGTTTTGTTATCAATATAATTAACACAAGCTTTTCCGCGTGGTTGCCTTTTAATAAATTGAATAAACAAATATTCGCAAATAAATTGAATTTATTTTATAACTAACAACTAACGTACGCTTTTTGTTCTTTTCTCCATTTTGATTTTGACTCTTTATTACCGCCAACAACTTTATGTGTATACAAGCTGTCAAAATTTTGCGTAGTCCCATGAGCTAGTTAAAAACTATGGCATTCGTATTCACAACGAGAAATCTCGAAATTTTTGTTTGGTCCTTCCAAATTTTCTCTTTTTTATCAGTTGGCCAAGGCCCTCAGTGGCAGCGCTCCGAACGTTGAGATAGTAATTTCATGTCAATTAGTAGAAAAGCCCATGTTGAAAAAACTTTTTATTATGGCGAGAAAAATTTACATTTCTGCTGTGCCAATTCGTAACTTTTTACTGCTGGAAATTTTTGACAGTTGCTCTGGTGCAAAAGAAGTTGAGCAATTAAAATCAGAAATTATACAAAAAAGACTTGTCTTTGCTGACATTTATTCTTCTAGAACTAAAAGCCATGCATTTATTATACGCCTTAGTAATAAAATTAGAACAAAAAAACTCTTCAAAACCGTCAGGCCGGGTTGAAAATTTTCATTCACCTCATAGTTAACAAAAATTTACCATCCGTAGCACTTTTCTATCAATTCGCAAATGCCGTTTGCACAAAAAAGGTTATGAAATGGGTTTTATTTAATTCGTTTAGAAAATGAGTCATTTATGTATACCATTTTATGTGGAATTATTCAATAAATTTCGTTTTACACTATACTTTTTGAAACTATTTGGAGTTAATTATTTTTGTTTCATAAAAGCAACCCTGCGTGGTTGGAAGGCGTATGTACCAATAATTTCATCCCTAGCATATTCATCCCCGAGGAAGGCAGTCGCCAAATTCACCGAAGGTTGTTTACTGGTTATATTGTGGTTTCCAGTCTGTAGCTCATCGGGAAGTTTGTTAAATATTGATTGCAAAATTCCAGACCATACAAAGATACATACATACCCCATAAGCACAACGAATTCGCCTCGAATTCGAGACGAGCTCGTTTTCTCTGATGGAACTATCGAGATGATACTTCCCGGCGATAGATCGGCGAATTCGCATTCGTAGGAGAGTCACCTATCGTTAGCGAATCGAGTATTACTAGTTTTTCGAATCGTTGGCGATTCGAGAAATTTTCTTCGAATTGCTGGCGATTCGAGAATATTTAATTTTTCTAATCTTTGGAGATTCTATAATTTTTATTTTTCGAATCGTTGGTGTTTCGAGAATTATTGATTTTTCCACTCGAGAATTCAGCTCGCTGGTGGTAGAAAAAGCGAAAGGCAGAGGGTACTGATCAGCTGATTTGGCAGGGTTGCTTTTCTTGCTTCTCAAAAGTAGTTGCTACCGAAAAATGCAAATTATAACCGAGTACCTATTAAATCTAAAATATATATTTTATGAAATGGTTAACTTCGGAAGTTTTAATTAAAGCTTACATTGTCTCCAAAGGAGCTAGAATTTTTTTAAACCTAAATGAGTCTTTTAAAACAAGAGTTATGCGAAAAACTTAATTTGAGAAAACCGAAAGCACGGGTACCGACTACTTCAGATTACAATATTTTTCCATCAATATAAAATACAAAGTGACGCGGTAAATTTGTGTGAAAAGTTGCGTGCGATATACTTCAAATTAAAAGTTTTATAGTTTTTATAGTTTTTAGCCTTCAAAAGCGGAATATATCTCAGCATTAAACAGATAAGACCCGAAGATAAGTATTTTAAAAGAAAAATAAAATGAATAAAAGGAGTTTTGAAAATTGCATGAGCAGGGAAAAAAAGATCTTTGAATCCAATGTGAAAAGATTCAAAGAACTTATGGAATCTGATCAAGTAACAGAAAGTGTGGTAAAATTAGAACAAATAGAAAGTGAAATCAGTATAAATGTTACTGATAGTGAAAATTCGGAGCGATTTTCATCCGATGAACATAGCTCCTGTGGTGAAGAAGAAGTTTTAGAGACCCCTGTAGAAAGTGTTGCTGGGGTTAATAAAATTGAAGAAATTAAATCGTGGGCTATTGAATTTAATATTTCTCGAAATGCTCTAGACGGCCTATTGCAAACTTTAAATAGAATCGGAGTAAGTGATTTACCTCTTTCAGCAAAAACTCTTTTGGGGACCAGCAGGCAAAAAACGAATATATCAAAAATTCCAAACGGTGAATTTCTGTACCTAGGAGTACAAAACTATTTTTTTGACAAAACTCTTAATTTTTTACAAAATAAGGAAGAAATTTCGATTGATGTAGGGGTTGACGGTCTTAGGTTATTTAAAAGTTCAAACCGTGTACTGTGGCCGATTCTTGGAGCACTTTCAGATTATCCTACTAAGAGCCCGTTTGTCATTGCTTGCTTCTCTGGGCATGGAAAACCTAAAGACATAAATGACTTCATGCGCGATTTTTGTGCCGAATACAAGGTTCTAAAAGAAAACGGTATTAAAGTAGGCTCCAATCAAGTTTTAAAAGCATTCAATGTTCGGGTTTTCATTTGTGATTCTCCAGCTAGAGCGTTCGTTACCGGTGTTATAGGGCATAATGGAAAAAACGGTTGCCCCAAATGCTGTGAAGAGGGAACATACAAAGAGAGAAGAGTGTGTTTTTCAAACAAGATTAGAGTCCTTAGATCATACGAGTCCTTTGAATTAAGAACTAATATTTCTCATCACCTTACACAGTTTAAAGAAAAAAAAATGTTTTGGAAGAAGCCGGATTCAGGATGGTTTCGCAATTTCCCCTTGATTCTATGCATTTAGTTGACTTAGGCGTAGTTAAAAAATTGATAAGGCTAATCTCCAAAAGAGTAAATGTAAAAGCAATTAATGAAATACTCAATTACGTATCTCAATTTGTGCCTTCTGAATTCGGTCGTATACCCAGGAGCTTAGAAGAAGTTTGCAATTGGAAGTCTACGGAATTCAGGCAATTTCTCCTTTATACAGGTATATTTGTTTTGAATGGTAATATTAGTGATGATTCATACTACCATTTTTTATTGCTTCACAGTGGAATAAGACTTCTTTCAAATGAAAAGTCACTTAATAAAGACACAGTCGTTGCTCAAAAAATTTTAGAAGATTTTGTCAAATTTTTTGGTAACTTATATGGCGACGAACAAGTTAGTTTTAATATTCATGGTCTGCTTCACTTGTCTGATTCGGTAATAAAACTCGGTCCATTAGATTCTTATTCAGCATATAGATTTGAAAATTATATGCAATTTTTAAAAAAATTATTAAAAGCCCAAGCAACATTCTTCAGCAATTGTCTGTGAGACTTAAGGAAGGCAGGGGTATGAATCAAGTTGCAATAATTTTGGTTCCTTTACTATCAGTGATAAAAAAGATAAACATCGTTATTGTTTTTGTGAGAAAATTGGGCCTATTAAGGTGGTGGATGTCATAAAATCAACGGAATCGGATATAATTATTTGTAAAGCTTTTCAAAAAATCGAAAACTATTTTACTGAACCTCTTCATTCATCCACGAGTTTGGGCATAGTTGTAGCAAGTGATTTGGCCATTGAAACAGTTCAAATTGCCTTCAAAGATATAAAATATAAATATTTTTGTATTCCGTTTGGTGGCAAGTTTCTGTTAATACCCCTGCTGCACCATTTGTTTCACGATTTTTTTAACTTTACCACACATTCATAATTAACAAATTACCGATAATTATAGTTTAAGTAATTGCAAAAAACATGAATATTATTGCACATGAATTCTAGCAACTCTATTTTGGACGAGTCCTTCGTTGATGAAACCCATTTAAATGGTAAGTGAAATGCCTTAAAAGTGTACATATGCATATATATATAATTTAATGATTCTCACTTTTCAGCGAACCAGCCTGCAATTGTCAGAAGATGCTTTGATGAAACAACTTCCGACGAAGTGATGGAGGTTAGGGAGGAAAGCAGAAATGAGCAACAGAGACCCGATAATAAAGGTTTGTTTCTGCTAAAATTATCGCTAAACTTAATACGATATTATCTGCAGAGATTCTGGATGCCTTGGAAGTCATAACCCTACGTTTGGCTACGATCGAAACTAATGTAAATAATAGCATCTCCGTTTTCATACTTATATCACATCGGCAACAGTGACATTTATCCGATAAATGCCTTTTCGTGGAATAATTTATGTTGTCAATGTTCGATATGTATGCATATCTCCGATTGTTTACCAATTTAGAAATTATTTAATATTATAGTATTTAATATTATGTTTTCATTTCATTAGCAAGTTGTCCTGCAAAAAAACCAGGAAATAATTAGCCCCCAAGTCGAAGAACTTGTCGAGAAGGTGAGTTTTTTTTATTACTAATAGCGTTTTCTTTTCTCGAAAAAAATGCTGCATTTATTTTTCTTGTTTATTTAATGTTATACCATACTTTTATAAAAAAATAAACATTGAATAAACAAAGGAAAAACAGCCGAAACTTATTTAAATATCGCGTTCCTATGTATAAATTCATTTTCCCACCACTGTATATTTTATGTTTTAATTGATAACAAATATTTCCCAATAGATGGTTAATAAGTCGGAAATGTTGGCAGAAAACAAAATCCTGAGAGAGTGCAAAGTGACTTTGCAAAAGATTGAACTGTCAATTGGAGGTATGACTGGCGAGGTACGAGACCAAATTTTAGATGAGGTGGCGAGCAGTTTTCCAATCAATTCAATTACTTCTGTCAGTGATATTGAGGACAAAATTATGAATCGTCCGGAATACGCTCAAGCAATGGTAATAAAGCTTGGTTTCTTTCAAGCTTAAAATTCTCATACCTTCCTTTCTATACATTTTTCTATAGATAACGTACTTCCACAAATTAAAAGGAGCATCCGAAGACGTCTCTATCAGCCGCACTCAGAAACGTTCATTAAATTAGCTCTAACGGGCACTTAACTAATGATCGTTAAATCTGTTAATTAATGTTTCCTCTCAGAGTAATTTTTTAATGATTCATTAGTTAATGAAAACTTTAAGGGCTTGTCAATTTCTTCCCTCTTTTTCTTTAGCAACACTCACTTCAAATTGACAAAAAATTAAATATTTGAAGTTAGATTATATTGTGCTTTCATACGAAATACGTATTTCATTGTTTTTCTATCAGCACCAAGGCAAGAAAGCATACATAATATAATAATTATATTATAATGGTAAGTATCGGTGTAGAAGTAAAGCAAGATCGTAGTTTAGGCCTTCCTCCTATTAATTTGTACTCGCTTTAATTTAATTAATTTGTCTCTAATCCTTGTCTAATCCATTTCCATCCCTTACTAAAGTAAGCAGTAAGGATTGTTAAAGTAAGTACAAAAGATGAGACATGGATTCGACAAGGATTAAATACATGAGTCACTTAACAGTAGTAACAGTTTTTATATTTTTTTGAATTTTGAATTGTGTCGTTGTTGTACAGGACCATCGATATGTAAATACATTCATATCGTATAAGTGCGCTGTTAGGGACTTAACTATTATCTTCATACTGTCTTGTCGTCATAAAATTTAATTATTAGGCTGCTCCCGCAATGATTTGCGAAATCTCCAACAACTTTGACAGCGATGGGGCAATTTTGCTAAACATGGAAAATAGCCCTAGCTCCATTGAGTTTTTAGGTATGTCCTTTAAGATATAAGGCAAATCACTTTTTAACCAACATTTTTTAGATATGATCACGGAAGCAAATGAGGAATCCGACGTAAACTTCAAAGCCATAAGCATAAATTATGAAGGTGAACCAAATGTTGCAGGTACTGTACCTATAAAATACGAAAGAAGTCATCTACGATATACTAAAATTCTTTTCGCTGCTTTTTAACTACATAGTACACAGTAATGAAACTGGCCACCAACAAAAAGTGGAAAAGGAGCAAGTACTCAGACCAAGCGACTACGTTCGGCGGGAGGCAGCATTACGGGTAAGGTACCTAGAGAAGAGAGAGAAGCTTAAGCTTGAATTAGTCAAAACACAGGTATATAATAACTATGCATTGGTAAAGCTAAATATTTCTATATGCATATTTTCTTTTACAGTTGGAAGTTGAGCAAATAAAAAAAAGAGCAGCCTTGTTGGAAGAGCAAAAAAACCAAGTATTACTACAAAAGGCTAAAATAGATTTTGAAGAGGCAAAAAAAATCGTTCAATAAATTAAACACATAGTTAATATTTCAACATCTAAAGACTTTTATTTGTAGCAAAAGATGTAGGAAAAAAATCTGTCTACCAGAGATTGACGCGCAATAAAACCGTTGCTGTTGGAGTTTTCATTGATTGGTGAGGCTTCGACATTAAAAGTTTCGATGTTATCAGAGCTGACTGGTAGCAAGTCATCTACTAAGATGGAAATGTTATGCAATGCTGCACATGCGCATATAACAGCTACAACGGTCTCCAGCTTAATACCCATTCCAACGTGAAGGCAGGGGAATCTTCGCTTCCAAACTCCAAAACATCTTTCCACAGTGTTTCTTGTTTTAATGTGGCTTTTATTGTACTCCTTTTGTGGAGTTGAGCTTGGTGATAAAAACGGAGTTAAAAGCAAATTACTGACAGCATATCCACTGTCACCTAAGAGTATTCTTTTTAATTCCCCGCTATTGAATCTTTGCTTAACCGAACTGCTGTTATATATAAAGCTATCGTGCGTACTCCCAGGCCAACGAACTACTAAATCAAAAAATTCCAAGTTTGGACCAGTGACTGCTTGTACATTGATAGAGAACCACCCTTTCCTATTTCTGTATACCTCAGCAGATAATCCTCCTGGGCTTCTTATTTTAATATGTGTGCAATCTACGCACGCAATTACTCCAGGAAAATGAGCCAATTCATAAAACTGTTGCCTACAAATAAAAATGTGCAACAATAATTAAGCATTTTTATACATAGTATGTAAAAATACTTATTATGTATTAACGAAATTCAGAATACAAAATATGGCCCTACTTTACTCTATTAAATTCTTCTGCAGTAGATGGAAATTTAACGAGGTCTTTGGTTTTTCGCGCTATTGAAGTAGAGACTTGAAAAATTATTCGTGAAACTGACTGTTGACATATGTTCATCACATCTCCATCCAGTTTCTGTAATTGAAATGGATAGTCATATGTTATCGTTCATTAGATCCAAAAGTTGAGGCATTGGAAATTCACACGTTTATTTCCATATGTATGTTGGTATAACTTATTAAAGAACGTCGAAGTTCCAAGATAAATAATAATTTATATAATTTAATTAATTTTTTTAATTTATTTATATATGATATGCTAAAAATATATGTATGTATATGTACATATGTATATAGTTTCAGCTGTTTCTTGAAATAGTTGTATGCATACATCCATCCTTGGAAAATAATACATATAATATGGAGACAGATTCAAATGTTATCTTCTCGTAAATAATTGTATCAATACCAACCTGAAAACTGCCAGTGGCATAATATCGAAGTGTTACCAATAACATTATTTCCGGGTGAAATGGTAATCCTCTTCTGGTTGGCTTATCCAACTCAGAAGACACCAAAGGCAAAATAACATTCTTAATAGTTTCAGGCGTAAATCTATATCGTGCATGGAATTCCCGATTTGAGTACTTCGTGAAAGGATCAGAATAATCTCGAAGATAGCGCCTCAATCCCACTTCCCTGTGCCTTCTTACATAATCCGCAAAGTCCATAAAGTCTTCTAGATCGGACATTTTTCCACTATTTTAAAAATCTAACACAAATTCAAACGAAAATAATAAAATAATAAACAAAAGATTGTCAAAATCTCTCGTTAAAAAGTTAAGTGAAGGTTTTTCTTTACTCAACTTTAATGTTCATTAAATGCCGTTAATGAAACATTAGCTGACTCTGAGAGGGAATTTTTTCAAATCGTTACTGAGGGACACCTTAAGTAATCATTAAACGACTCTGAGTGCGGCTGTATGGTATTGAAATACATTTTCACTGACGAACTATTAATGAATTTTAATTGGGATGGCAGGTGGGAGAAATAGGCTCTTTGCAAATTAAATTTATGTAGATGTTTTTAAAACACAGGCATCGTATGACTTTCAAAAGGCGGTGAAAAGGTCAATCGAGCTTAGCCATCACCGATTGAAGCAGAAAAAGTACCAGCTTAATAAATCTAAGAAATAATAGATTAATTTATGTAATTTTAAGTTTACTTTTAATCGTATTAATAAGTTCCACATTTGAGTAATAATTTATGAGCGGCCCCCTAAAATGTCACAAAGGTATAAGAATTAATTTTTGCATTCAACACAGATTGTATCCAAATATATTGGGCCCTATCTGCGGTTAAGGCTAGATATGTGTATATGCCAGCAAAATACTTTGCAGAAGTTGAAAATCTGTTTAAAACGTTTTTCTTAATTAAACACTTAGGCTCACTTGCAGAACATCCAGAGTAAAATATATAAATACCGAGTTCAGTAGCTAAGAGTTAAATTTTTACATTTCTAAACCCGACAATGTCTTGCAGCATTGAAAACTGACTCAGAGTTAAGTTACCCGAGGGATTTCTAAATTAAGTAGGCACCACTCTCTTTTTTTGACGTTTGTTTTGATTTTTTATATTTATTATTTGAAATTAAATATAAAATTTTTATTAAAACCAGAAAAACTAAAGAATGGCAAATATTAAATACAATTGGATCTCGCTATGGTTGGATCAATACACATGCCTGTCCAAGCACATCAACTTTAAGAGGGACTTCTATTACTTGACCAGGATATGTACTCATTTATGTATCAAATCCACGCCATGGTAGTTGAAAAGAACACTGCGTCATGAAGATCTTCAGCTCATTTCTCTGCAAATTGGCCAGCGACACTTCTTCACTGCACACTTTCGGTGCATTTAAATCGCATATACATATTTTTTTACGCGAGACTGACCGAAACCTCGATTTGAAGGCGTGAATACGTGCATATGTGTGTATGTGCGTATGTAAACATGTGTTCAAAAATATTTTTTAAATTTTTGAAATCCCAATTTTATTATTCTTGTTACTGACAGAATTGACATATGTAGAGTTAGCAAGTTAACCTTCGAAAATTGCTGGGCTAAATATTTAACGACTTAACTTTAATTTTACACCCAACCATTGATTGTGCAAGCCAATTTATCAATTTAACCGGTAAACTTCAAGTTATATAGATAACCTGCTGTTCTACAAGTGGGCCTTAGTTAAATATTTTTCGTTAAATATTTCTGTAATTGCAATTGCTGCGAATTGAATTTCATGAAACTTTTGTGAAAATGTAAGCGTCTTGCCTATCTAAAAACTAGATATTAACTATTGAATAAGATTCCAATCGTATCAATAATTTCACGTCATTGCCTAAAATTTCCACTCGACTAGAGTATTAATACGGAAAAACTTGGCAGCACTGCATATTTTTCGACGATTTTCGTCGTTTACTTATTTCGGCACGACAGTAGACAATGCCAATGTTGTCGAGTCGTACAATTTAGCATAATTTACGACTTACGCAATGAGGCTGAATATCTAGTTTATAGAAAAGTAAGACAGCTACATTTTTACAAAGTTTCATGAAATTCGTAAAAAAGTTTCCCAGCAATTGCAATTACAGAAATATTTAACTAAGTGTTTAATTAAAAAAAAACCTTCTAAACCGCCGATAAAACTTAATAAAACTTTAGATGCTTTAAGAGCATTTATCCATGAAAAAGAAAATGTTGAAAAAACGTTTCTTTGCAGATAGGGCTCGATATGTTTGGATACAAACTGTATAAAATGCAAAAATTAATTCTTATATCCGTCACTTTGTGACATTTTAGGGGGCCGCTTTATAAATTAGTACTACATTTTTTTCATAAAAATTTTCAAAATTTTTTTTATGTAAATGAATTTAATATTTTCAATCTGAATATTTTTAATTTTTGATTCTAATATAATATATAATATAATATTTATATAAACTATAATATGAAACTTTGATTTATATGGTTTATATTATAGAATGAACTATATTTTCATAAATAATCAATGCAAAAAAATTGTTCATGAAAATAATCGTAAATATTTATTAGAACAAGGCGTACACTTTCATTTGTCGCCTGTTATATATGTGTACATATTTAAAATTATATTCCTTTTTTAAGAATTTATTATTAATAAATATTAAACATGCATAAATTTTAATTTGTATTCATCAAATATGGGTATTTACATCAGAGCTTCCTAGATTTTACATCAGTTGTGACTAATAATCGAGTCAGGTCTGATCGGTCAGCGCTGACGCATAATTCATTCAGAAATTCCAAGTCATACAATCAGCTGATCGGTCAGCGCTGACGCATAATACATTCTGAACTGACAAGTCCGACAATCAGCTGATCGATCAGCTCTGGTGCATAATTCCTTCAGAACTGACAAGTCCGACAATCAGCTGATCGGTCAGTTCTGATAGAATTTAAGGTCACTGCTGGCATGAGTAAGCGAAATAGCGATACGATTGGTAAGCTGGAAATTGTATGTGAAAAGCGATGGGCGATCACACGTACATGAAAATTTCGGTCAGAAAATGCACTTTGCCTTTAAAAATCTGATAGAAACTCGACACTACGTTCTAACCGGAAATTTTGTCAGTACTACCGGGCAGATGATGAGTAATATGACCGACAGTGTTCCTGCAGGGGAGCCAGTGTGGCATCAGGCCTCCAGAAAAAGCCAATTTTTCCAAAACAAAAGCGCCAAGTTTTTTATTATCATGTTTAATAATTTTTTTGATTCAGCAAAAAGTGTATATACATATCCATTTCCTCACGTTTTTATTAATAAATTAATTTCAATACATTTATAACAACGCAAAACATATTTAATTTACCTATTCCCCACATTTTATTCAGTAAATGAATTCCATCTTAATGTAGAATATTAGTGTATAGCAAGAACGATAGAATACAAGATTGCGCATTCCCGCAGAATGACATTTGCGGCAACGGGTAAACAAAGAATTTGGCGAAGAACAATGAGTTGACAGTTGTGAATTTGCAATGAGAAAACGTGTTTTCTTCACAATTCACCAATTTTTCAAGCCATCTTATAGCAAATTAAGCACAACGTTAACAAAAATTATACAACCACTCTTGAAATGTGTTCAAAAGAATAGAAAGAATTTTGTGTTTGTATTGCAGGTGCCGGAAAAGTGATAATATCTTGTCGCAGCGCATGTTTCCTGCAGAAAGTGGTCGATGCTTGCTTACCTCCGATTTTAATTTGTAAATTGTGGTATTTCAACGTTTTCAACTTAACATGTCGTGTTTAAAAGTGGTGCTTTCAATTGTATGTGGGCTGGTGTTGCTGTTTGAGAACTGTGAAGCTGTGGAAGCTTTTGACAAATCTCCAAAGGACCAAAAGGAAAAAATCAACTAAGTTGCCGCCTTGTAAATCATGCACTGTGCTTGTGGAATCATTTAATTTGGTGAGTGCGTGGCAGTAATAACAAATTTGTGTCGTATTAATATAAACTTTGCTTACAGGGTTTGGAAAACATAAGTCGCGGCAGGCATGCCGGTGGTGATGCAGCTTAATTTCCATAATTTTCCATAAATGAAGTGGTGCTTTATCATGCGCAGAATGCACTTAAAGGCATGGTACGTCCGCAGAGTATAAAGATTTGTCAATTCCAAATCAACACGGGCTTCATACCGGAACAAGAAACATTGATTACATTTTCCTCGAATGATCTCGATGATTTACCGGATGCCGATCAGGTTCCTCATGACTTTTCGGTTTCGCTGTCGTTGAGTTTCACGAATTTCCGCCGAGTAGGAATCCTCCTTGGTTACCAGCAAAGCCCATAAGAAACGCACAACATATATTTAGTTCGCAATTAGAATTCGAGGAAATGGTGGAAAATTCGGCAAGTCCCTACAGTATTTCCGCCCATTTCATTAATTTATTTATTTTCCTTACTACAGTGACAAAACCTAGTTCCATCAACAAACCTACGCCTGTTAGGTCAGCTGCTTCGGTAGATAACGCCTATTTTACCAGATGCTACCGAAATAAAGCAAGAGGATGTACCTCGAATCCAACCCCAACCATCACCACCAATAGACATGCTCAATTTAAACCAGTCCCAACCCCAGCTGCCGGTGCAAGATCCACAAGCCACTGTTATGCCAACGAGTGACGCTAGTTTCGGTTTGCTTGAAGCATTCGGGGATGATAATTCATCTGGCATTGGCTCGGCTCCAATACCTGATATTTTAGGTAAGGATTTGGTAGATTCAAAAAAGTCTTAGACTTTTAGGCGGCCATCCAAATTAATATTTGCTAAGTTCTGAATTGAGACCTACATTTCTATTTTAGAAATTAATGTACAACCAACTTCAAATGCCAACCTTGATGATATCTTCGGCTCAGTTGCTTCATCGGCGCCGAAAATATATTTGATAGTTTTTCTGTAAACCAGCCGACACCAACTAGTGCAAACCAACCTGGTGTACTGGTATATGTCGCGTCAGTCTCAGCAAAATAGTCTTGCATCAACAACCAGAGCTCAGTACGTCATAGTTATTTTTCTTCTCTGTTTTTGGAAGCTAGTGCAATGAGGTATAGTTTTAATAAACATTTATTCGATTTGAAATTTTTACTACTATAGTCTTTA